ATTTCTCTCATTCCTCTCACTTTCCACCAAAGAACAAACTTCATTTTCTCTCACCTTCTCTCTCTAAAATTTCGAGATTCAAGGCTATTCTCCAAGTTTTTCATCTACTTTTGGTAAGTATTATTACCCTTAATATGATTATTTCACTTCCTTCTATCCAAATCATAGATTACTTACACAAATTCCACCAATTTAGTGTTAGATCTTCGAATCTTCTAGCCACATTCTAAGTGTTCTTGAGTTGAATACTTCCCTTCTTCAACATCCATCCAATGAAATCACTCAAGGTGAGTTCATAACCCCATCTTTACACATTTTCTTAAGTTTTAAAAAGGGGGGGGGGGGTAATACAAGTTAAAACACCAAGAAAATAACTAAACTCATCCAACAACTTTCATCAGAAAAGTTTAACTCCATTCACGGACCTTTGTGGTCAACTTAATCATTTTAGTTTTCAAAATTGTATTAGATGAAAATAGTGTAGGTTTATACCTTTAAAATGACTACTTGCACATCTCCATACGATTTTTCTACGATTTAGGGTGATTTTTACAAAACTGCCTATCGTTTCAAGAGCAAATCCGGACCAATATGTGATTATGGACATTTTCACCTAAGTTGGAATCACTAAAAAGCTTGAGAAAATTTATGAACAAACTAGACTGATTTTCCAAACTCTCAGAATTTACAGATTCTTATTTGGACCTTTGATGATTTTTCTATAAATTTTCCAAGAACAGTAATATAAATGTTAACATTAGAAAAATATTATCAACTTCATTTGCACCTTGTGACTTGTTGAGCAAGGTGTGTATCATTATGTGAATATATGTTTTTACATTACATGTCATTTCGTCTTGGTGTATTGACATACATCAGAAAACAAATGGATTTTTACCTTCATAAGTATGGAAATTAATTAGTTGCTATATTACATGTTATTTCACCTTAGTAAAAGGTATATATGTATATCGGTAAACAAAAGGGTTTTTACCTTCACAAATATAGCAGTTAACCATAATAAACAAAGTTATAACTATTACATTTAAACATTTTGATAAACTATAATAGGTATAGTTTATGTTACATTACATTTTGAGCTCATTACAAGAGGTTTTCATTACATATAAATGTGGTACGAATATAAAGTACCAGGTTATACATTAAGCGAGGTACGACCATACATTACCAGGTTATACATTAAGCGAGGTACGGCCATACAATGCCAGGTTATACATTAAGCGAGGTACGACCATATAGTACCAGGTTATACATTAATCGAGGTACGTCCATACAGTACCAGGTTATACATTAAGCGAGGTATGACCATACAGTACTGGGTTTTCATAAAATGGTTTTTATGATATTAAAACTACGTTATTAGGTCGAAAATTTACTTTTCGAACTCATTACAAAATGGTTTATTCATTAAGTGGGGCACAAATATAAAGTGTCGGTTTACTCATATAAATGGGGTACAAATACAAAGTACCGTGTTTATACAAAAAGGGTACATTACAAAGTATTGGATTTTTCTTTCAACTAAACGAGTTTATGTCATTTTGAACATACATGATTTATTTTAAGCATGGAAAATACTTTTACATTTCGGTCTTGAAATTTAAGACTACAATACATTTTATAAGGAAAATTTTGGATTTTTTTGGTAACACACAACTCATTATAAAGATTGGTCTCCAAACTCTTCGTCTAAAAAGCTTATGAACTCACCAACTTAATTGTTGACACTTTTTCAAAACTACTTGTATTCTCAGGGAATCAACGAAATCAGGAAATCACAAGCTTTTGAGGATGGTACGCTACGGCGTTGAACAACTATTTTCATATCATGTTGTAATCAATCATTGAAATATATAGTACTTGAAACCATGTAATTCTTTTCTGATTATATTTATGATTGGTTGTATTTACTTTGAGCACTATTATACTCGTTGTTGTGATACTATACATGAAGTCCGCCACCCCAGACGTTTCCGCCATCCTTGGTTTGGGGGTCTGACATATTGTGATGACTCGTCGTCGGTATAGGTTTTTCACAGTTGTCGATTATGGACCTATAGCGACGATTTGTCGTCAGGATAGCTACCGATTGTTTTTTTAGCTTTACTGATTTTGTACATTACCATTCCTGCATTTTTAACAAATCCAAAAAACATTGTAACATATATCAATTGAAATACATTAACTAGGTACCATTGTTCAAATTCAAAACATCAAATTCAAGTTTAATATTACAATAAGTAGTTAACTAACATTGTTCAAAATACTAAAAAAACATCAACCATCATTGTTATAATCGTCTTCTTCTTCTTCTTCTTCTTCTTCTTCTTCTTCTTAATCTTCTTCTTCTTCTTCTTCTTCTTCTTCTCCTCCTCCTTCTTCTTATTCTCCTTTTTCTCCTCCTTATTCTTCTCCTTCTTCTTCCATTCTTCCATCCTTTCGGCAAATTGTCGAGAGGTCTTTGCTTGTGTGTTATAGTTGAATAAAAAGTTAGGAAATGGTGGTGATTGGAAGTTCGGAATACATGCCGCGAATGATGCATTATATTGTTGCAAATATTCTTGCATTTGTTGTGCATCAAATTGGGATTGAGATTGGCGTTGAGATTGAGATGATTTGGAATTAAATCAAAGTTGGCGGTTGGTCTCCTACTCACCCCGCGAGCACGTCCACGCCTCGTCCCACGGGTACGTTCTAAACATTCTTCCTCGTTTACTTCTCCGCCTTCCCCAACATCGTTTTGCATTTTCTCATATTCCTTTTGAATTTTCTCATAAAATAAAGAAAAAAATTAACATACTTTAATTAAAACAAACAACTAAACTTAAACATTAAAATAATAATAATAATTCTTAAACAATAAACTATAATTAATAATAATATATTTAAACAACACATTCATTTCGTTTATCACTTACAGATTCTTCTTCTGCTCGACTTGTACATCAACTCGAACCTTCTTTGTAGCGCATTGATCTCCAACCCTCAATATGTTGCGGCTTGATTCCCATTTTTTCCTATAATAAGTGAAAAAATAATAAATATATTTGTACAAATGTTAATAACACTTTTAAATAATAATAATGTATTTTATTACCTTTAAATGATGCCGTTGAGCATAGGGTCTACATTTGTGAGCACTTGTGTGTGGAAGTTTCAACCCAGTAACTTTATTTCTGACCGACGTGCGTTTTTATTCCTCTGTAAAAAACAACAAATCAATCATATCATTCCAAGTTTCGGCGGTCCAATCAGGCAGTGGATATCTTCTTGCCCTTTCCACATTATGATATCCACCAACTCTATCAAAATGTTTTTTTATCTGATACTTGCGCTCTTGATAATCTCTTTGCATATCTGCTTGGATACCTGCTCGAAGGGGTTCCCACAAGTTTGTGCCCCGATACCTATTAGTATCAAAATAAGTCAGCAAAATGAAAAACATATTTGATTAGTAAAAAAATATTTAATAAGTGTAAAATTCAATACATATAAAATATATTGTATACTTACCTCTAGCTCGGGATATAAATCATCTTTGTACTTGGTAGGAACACGACGCCAAATATGATAATGCAATGGTCCCTGTGATCCCACCAGATTTGAGATCAGTCTGGCAAACATTTTCCCGTTGTCCCCTATAAATCGATACGTCCGCCCGAAGATATCAATTGTCAAATCCAAAGGCCTACACTTGTTTTTTTTCATTTAAAGGAACAAAAATAACGAACACTTGAAACACCATTTACACAAGCTAGTTGAAAATTATATAAAGAAAACAATTACAATGTTTAAAATCTCACATTTACGGAAAAAATAAGGTCCCAATACTTTTAAAGTATTTTATATTATCAAAAATATGTTATGTAATATTCAAAATGTACAGACGAGAAATATAAGTAAATATCACATGTTAATAGCCTTAAAAAAGTCCATACAGCTAACCACATGCGCTCCTAGCCACGATGTAAAACACAATGTTCACGAATTGATGTGTAGGTGCACTTTGTACTTGTTGAAGCTTCCAGAAGCCTCCACAATCGATTGAGGTTTGATGCGATGTCTAATGTCTAACAAAAAATGTTCAACCAATAAGAACTTAAGAGTAAATTGAAAAAAAAAACATCTTTTAAATACAACAATACAAAACTACAAACATAAGTGTTTTCTTGTGAGTTGAACTTTAAAGTAACCTAAAATTCTGTTATGTATGATAAAGATAAAAAGGAGAAAAGTGGAAATTTTAATGAAAGAAATAAGGTAAAATTAGAAAAAAAAAAAGTCAAATGTGCTAAGAGAAATTAAATTGATTCCTACTTTTTATGCCTACAAATATGCCTACCCAATAAAATTATGACAATTGTCATCTTTCCATATTTTTTAAACTAAATCATTAAGATTATATTAGGATTATATCAAATACAATTAAATTGAATGGTGATTTGTCATAATTTTAATGAGTAGGAATAATTGTAGGAATAAAAGGTAGGAAACAATTTAATTTCTCATGTGCTAAACTTATGGGTTTTATCCCTTCTTATCCCTTCCAAATATGAAGGGGTTGCTTGATATGTATATCTTCATTTCTAGTGAAATTTTCTTTTTTTAAAAATTACGTTCCTTATTCAAAGTCTGATTAAACTTGGTTCTTTTAAAGGTTGATCTTCAACCATCGATTTCTCTATTTGAATTATTTATCTTCTTTTATAGGTTGTCCACATAAACCGTTTATTTTATCTTCGTCAAATATTCTTTTCTTATCTTTCTTTTTTTATATCTACCACTATCTCTTTGTTGCTTTACACAAGAATCTATCTATTTTTCGTTGTGAAAAATATACCTTATGTTACCCTTTCAAATATTCCCCCTTTCTTTTCTTCCTCAAAACAATTAGCATTTTATCTACAATGATGCCATTGTCATTGTTCTTCTCCTCATCTCTCATTTCCCGTTTCAGAGTTCGTCTTTTCACATTCTTGAGATCACGGTGCCCAAAGTATACATACTTTCCACAACCTACTACTCATGTCTTATTCAAATAAGCCTTCATTCTATTGGAACCGAAATACTCAATTTATTGGATATGAAAGTAAGCTATCGCGCCCCCCTTCTAGATCCCTGGTAAATACCATCTCCCCTTTTAAATTATATATATATATATATATATATATATATATATATATATATATATATATATATATATATATATATATATATATATATATTAATTACTAATGTAATAAATTCATTTAGTACAACCGCACAAGGAGTGATAACCAAAAGGAAGAAATATACGGAGAAATTATATCACGCGCCCCTTCTAGATCCTTTGTAAATATCATCTTCCTTTTTTTATGATATATATATATATAATATATATATATATATATATATATATATATATATATATATATATATATATATATATATATATATATATATATATATATATATATATATATATATATATATATATTCATTAATCATAACTATTAATAAAAAATACAATAAATTCATTCAGGACAACCGTACAAGGAGTGATAGACACAATGAAAAGTCAGATGGAGCAATTCCACTTTCTTTAGCATCGCGGGTGCCTTCAAAATCCTTGGTAAATACCATCTCTCTTTTGCGCGCGTGTGTCTGTATATATATATATATATATATTATATATATATATATATATATATATATATATATATATATATATATATATATATATATATATATATATATATATATATATATATATAAAAGTTCAATAAAAAACCATAATTATTGGTTCTCCAACGAACTAATTTTTTTTTCCAAGTTTTAGAACTTATTCTTTATTGAATTAAAAACCAAAAATATCGAAATTCATAACTTAACATTGTGAATTTTAAATATATTTTTTAGATTGACCGTGTTAATTTAGATTAACATTATGAATTTCAAAGATTCACATTGTGAATTAGACGAATTTTTTTTTATCGAATTTGATATCATTGGAAAACGGATAAAAATTATGAATTTCTGTATTTTTAGTTTTTTTTTTTGATAAAAAATAAGTTCTAAAAGTTGAAAAAAAGATTGGATCATTGGTTCCTTGGTTAATTATGGTTCTCTATTGAACTTAACCGTATATATATATATATATATATATATATATATATATATATATATATATATATATATATATATATATATATATATATATATAGTTGAAGTCCGTTAATGATTCGTATATTAATGAGTACCCGATAACTAAAAGTGGAACGTTAGATTAAAATTAATTCATTAAGGACATTATCGTCATCTTACGAATATCATTTAATGTTTAATTTTTTTATTTTTTTTGGAAACATTAATAAAAATGTATAAAAAGTAACGTAATAAATGTAATTTTCGGATTTTTTGTAAATTAATAACATCTTAATTTTTTTTAAAAATGTAAAATTTTAAATATTTTTTAAAATATGTATTTTTTTTAAAAAGTCGTAATTTAAAAAAAAATAGTAATTTATTTAAAAAATTGGATCATTTAAAAAAGCTAAAAAAATTTTAACAACAAAATCAAGTTTTCAAATATATATATATATATATATATATATATATATATATATATATATATATATATATATAATATATATATATATATATATATATATATTCAAATGCAAGTAAATCATAAAAAATACATTTTTATTTAATAATCTATAAACACAGTAGTACAAACATTTTATTCGGTACAAGATAAAATACAAATAATAAAAAATGCTACAAAATCTCAAAGTGTTTTCATTTCTTTGTCAAGATTGTCAGATTTTCTCTGGTTTATTACTTTTCACCTCATTAATTTTCCACAAATTCTTCCAAATCTATAAGAATATTAAAAAAACGATTAATGTAAGAGCTCTTACAAAAAGGTATATGTATATATCATGTAAGATTCACATGTGATTATATCATGTAAGATTCACATGTGATTATATAATATGGAATTCTCATGTGATTTTATCATGAAGATTCAAATATACAATTCATATGTGATTATATCATTTAAAATTTACCTGTGATTATATAATAAAAGATTCATATGTGATATTCACATGTGATTATATCATATAAGATTCACATTTGATTATATGATGCGATATCCACATGTGATTTTATTGTGAAAATGAAATTCACATGCGATTATATCATTTAAGATTCACCTACATTATATAATATAATATTCACATATGAGATTAACGTTTGATTATATAATGTAAGATTCACATATGATTATGTCATGTGATATTTACATGTGATTATATCATGAAAAAATCACATGTGAATATACCATGTGATATTCAAATTTAATTATATCATGAAAGATTCACATCTGGTTATATCATATGCATATCAACATATGTATATATCATGTGATATTCACACGTGATTATATAGTGAAAGATTAACATATGAATATACCTTGAATAACACATAAGATTCACATGTGGTTATATTATATAAGATTCATATGTGATTATATCATTAAAGATTCAAATGTAATTATACCATATAAACGCAATATATATATATATATATATATATATATATATATATATATATATATATATATATATCATATTACTATGTGAATAACAAATAAAAGCATATTTACATGTGCATATGCCATGTAATATTCAGATATGGATATATTATGTAATATTCAAATAAGAATATATTATGTAATATTTACATGTGAATATACCAAGTAACATTCACATATGAATAATTGACCAAATCACAACGAACTTTCAAACGCTTATATCCAAACCTGTTATATTTTACCAAAGTTACAACTCATTTTCTCGCCCTGTTGGAAGCAACTAAACCCGAAAATAGAATAATTAAAGATTGAAACAAAAATTAGAATAATTAAGAAAAGAAGGAAAAATATTAATAAGTATATGTAAAATGACCTACCTAGTATTAAACAATCTATATGCAATAACAATGCACCAGGAGGTACAATCAATTAATACATACCAAAAGTAGGGCATCCTTCATTCAAGTCTAGTGTTGTTGAATCCCCAATCAACAACATCCTAAGAAAATAATCAAGTTCTACATTAGAAGACAAATCCATTGATATACTAGAACCAATCTCCAACTATAGAAAATAATCGATGCCTCAATAGAGATCGATAATTGGTGATTTGGATTTTAGGAAGAACGAAGACGATGATTGTGATTTAGATCTTAGGAATCGAGCACACCTAGAAAATTCCATCAATTAGAAGAAAATTATGTCACAAAGATCCACATATGAATAAATTCCATATTCGTATAATATCGAATAATACGAATAGATAGTGATAAATGATACTTGATGATTGTATACGAGTAAATCGATGAGGCCAGTTTGGTTGATGTTCTATTCCAGATCTAAAATAACGGCCAAGGAAGGAGAGACATCAATGATGTGTTAGGTCATATCGACAACAACAAGACTGGTGACTCAAGACGACAGTGAGAATGAGGAGGCGACTGTAGATGACCACTATTCACGATATATGATGGTGGCTAAGGAAAGAGATATCTATGGCGTTTTAAGGAAAATCAACAACGAGATAGTGGTCATTCATGAGGATGGAAGAGTAAGAATGTGCCCTCGCTGGACTCATACATGAGATAAAGAAACAAATATAAATAAACATTGATTAAAGTAATTTAGCAAATTTGTAGATGATATTTCTTATGACTTATTTACCCTTAAGTTTTTTTAAACCCTAAGATACCACTAATGTTCTCTATAATTACAAAAATGTCATCTTTGATCCAAGCCATCTATTTTTTACACCTAACACTCTACTTTTAGTTATTGGATTCTCGAGAAACTATGAGTTCTCAAATAATCTTACCCCCCTCTCACTCACTCACTCACTCATACACACACACACACTCTCTCTCTCTCTCTCTCTTTATATATATATATATATATATAGAGAGAGAGAGAGAGAGAGAGAGAGAATGTTTGGAATTCTTGCCCATAACAAAATGGTGGTTGAGGATTGTCATCGCGGTTCCTACCATTTTTTGGGTTTCTACCATATATATATATATATATATATATATATATATATATATATATATATATATATATATATATATATATATATATATATATATATATATATATATATTATATATATATATATATATGGTAGAAACCCAAAAAATGGTAGGAACCGCGATGACAATCCTCAACCACCATTTTGTTATGGGCAAGAATTCCAAACATTGTCCTTGGATGTGATGAGACCAAGTGAGACACATTTTCCATGGAATATACGAATATTATTCAGGATGGAACCGACCTGAACCAGACCATACCTGCATAACACGAAACCCGAATTGGAGGAAAAGTTGGAATCGAAACCTGTACCGATTATACTAATATGGGACCAGTTCAGTTTAGGTAATATAGGTTTTGGTTCGGTTAATAACCCAAAAGGACCGAAAAAACATGTGCACTATGCTTTTGAATTGAAATGAACCGAATAACCCAAATAAACTGAAAAACACGGATAGTTTGGTACTCTATCGAGCCAAAATGACCCAAATAACCTAAATAAACTGTAAAACCGAAAAATCGGTCATAAAATATAAGGACATACTCTATCTAATTCAAGAAAAAAATATAATATTGTTTTTTTGAAGCATCAACATTTTCAAATAGGCCGAAAATCATTTATTAAACATTGATAATTTATATTCCAAAAATGTATAATTCATATGTAAATAATAAACATTTGTTCAACCCATAAAATATGTCCTCAACCGCCATTAAAAATCTAACACTACCAACAACATTTAATTTAACAACTCTGAAATCACACAATGTATAAACAAGCATATCCAATTTTGATCTTAGTTACGACTCAAAATTTAGTTCACGAATACCATGCAATCTTATGAGTAGATTAACATTTTTAGAACACACGAGTTACCGCATACCAAAAAATATAAACTTTAGAAAGTCTTAATTCGGTATGGAAAAGATATGATTTTTATCGGAAATAAAAATCTATCACATACTAAACTTTACAACGTTGGAAAACTACGAAGAGAATGGTTGATCTTTTTCAGAAATCATCAAAAGACGAAACATAATACTACTCAAAGTAGGATTTAAGACACAAAGAACGCCTAAAACGGAACCTGTATGAGAGAGTTGTGATTTTTATAATATCATAAAGGTTATATAATACGTGCTAAAAACGAAAATCAAAATTAGCCAAAAACGACCAAAAGGAAAGTTTTAGTGTACGTCGAGACCTACGCAGATATACAAGAGTCGTTAAAAATGGAGTTCATATGTGAGAGTTATGAATTTTCAAACATTATAAAATAATCTCGCGCGCATCTGAGCGCAGCGCGCTACGTGCACTCTGACACCCTGATTCGTCAGGATACGGATGGTGTGGCACCATGAGAAGAGGACATGTGTTAACACATGAGTGGTTCACGCACAAGTGGTGCGGCGTGCACCTCAAAATTTCCTATATATAGCAAGCTCAGGATGATCCTTTCTCACACCTCAACACATATCCCACTCTTTCTCGATTTCTGTGCCACTGACTCCTGAAACTCTCTTGGAACCCGAACTCCCCAATTCTACCCTACATCAATGGTTTCACACTTCACAGGTAAGTTCACGACCCCATTTTCTAAACCTTTTCCGTAGGGGGGGGGGTACATGTTAAAATCTAAATATTACACAATTATTACTAACTGTACAACATCAGTTAGATACTTATACTCATAACGTTAAGATGATATTATGCCGCTAGATACCCTGCCCAACTTTTAAAGGTAAGATTATGCCTAGTTGTTATACAGATTCCTACTGATAGAAAATATCAAATCTAGTTGTTACGTTGGCCAGTTGCCAGGAAACGCTGATACTCCGGTCGTTATTTTAGCCACCCTTTGGATAGGTTTAGTACCTAGTGGTTACTCTGCCCAAATACTCGGTTATGCAAATCACATTAACTTGATTATATAAATGTATAATACAAATAATATATATAATAAGTAACTCTCATAAATACAATAAAGAATAACAACACGACTGACCAGGGGAGTCCCCCATAACAAGAGTTAGATGAGACACGATTCATCAACACACTGAAAGATTTTTAGCTAGCCCCCGATTGTTAACGTATCTTTCTAGGAACACATCAAAGATAACAAGACGGTTATCTAAATATGACCTAGATAATGGTCTCTACCTATCATAAGTGATAGGCCCAGGCCCTCACTCTTGTGGCCTCACACCTAGAACCCTACGCTCTAGCACCAAGGTCCAACTCAGAACAAGAGGCTCCGGTTTACAAGAAGCCAAAACAGCACCAGATGCTCCTTAGAGTGACAAGTGTAGCGCTCAGAGCGTTGCTCTTCAGTAGTTATGCACCAATAGCAGATAACCGCTAGCGGTGGATGACCTGCCAATGGGACACCTCCACATCTTGACGGTCCAGAAAAGTCAAAAAGTACTGTCAGGGACATGCTCTTCCGATGACAGGTATAAAGGAAGTCCTTCTTCTCCAAAAGAAGAGATCACCTCATTCTATATCTCTTAAGCTAAGCCCTAATTTTCTCATCCAATTACTGACTAGACCGTCAGAGTCTCGTTCCGGGACCCCCTCCCGGACGACAACTGAAATTGGTTCTTTCTTTGTTGTGATTCTTAGGCTTAACTCAGACAAAACTACAATAAACGACGTTAAGCTCAAAGCAGATATCACAACAATGGCCTCTAATCAATAAATCTTAAGTGAGCGGGAGATTGACACTCTCACCATGTGGTTGCTAGTTACAACTTGATGGCAAGTTGAAGCAGGCATAACTTTTTAAACACATTTGCGACGTCCGATGAAGTGTCATGGTTTTTCGGGGAACACTCAACAGTCATAGATCAATTATAGGAACTCATCGAAACATTGTTAAACAAAAGGTGACTACCAAATACTGCTATTTAAACAAGTAGTGATAGTACACTCAAACTCGAGGAAACAAGTTCAGATTTATCCTCGTTAAACTTGATCTACTATTCTTTAAGGGGAGCCTCGAGAATAATAGTAGTACACGAAACACAATAAAAGTATACTAGAATAATACTTCTCTCATAAAGACAAAGGATTTTAGAGATTTTAACAAATATTAAAGAAATTAATATGATACATCTTTCTATCCAAAAAGACAGGATCGTCAGATCTAGTTACTAAATTATTTGAATCCCACTACCAGAATATTTATGAAACCGTTTAATACATACTGACATGATTTTAGAATACAACAAGTGATAAACTAACAAACTCGACAAAGTATTTTTTTTTAATACAAAACCTATGAACCCACCAACATTATGTTGACCTTTCAAAACTCACATGTATTGCTAGGTCACCAATAGAGACAAAAGATTTTTCAGCAAAAGATTATGAAGCGAATCGCAGTCTACCAAAGAGTATAGTTAACAAGATAAAACTCAATGTAATAAAACAAAAGTCTTCATGTAAGTTATTGATTGTTGAATGGAAGTGATATTTATGTCATGAATGACATGTGAAATTCTTCTCGGTGATCCAAGATCCTAACGTCATGCTGCCCGACGTTTCCACCGCCAGGTTGGGGTGTGTCAGCATTAAATCTCCTAATTTAAATATGAATCTTAAGTTTTTTTTTTCCAAAATAACAATGACCAAATACAAATTAACTATTCGGGAATATTGATTGGTTGTTTTCCCTTTCCACCTTTATTGTTTATCGCATTTTCCGACTCTTTTGCGACCTCATCATCTTTCAAAACTCCATCAATGTTGTCCACAATTGTTTTTTCTTGATTTCCTTACCCAATCTTGGGTGCAAACCAAAGCCTCTACTATTTTTGCGGACAAATTTATTAGGTATGGGTCTAATATCCACCCGCTTGTACTAAAAGCCGCCTTGGACGCCATGGTAGAAATTTGTAGTCCCAAAAATATCTATCAACATAAACAAAAAAAAGTGTCAAAATATAATTATAAAAATTATACAAATAAATAAAGTTTTACCTTTCGTTATACAAGATAAAATAGGGTAAAGAGATGCATTTTTTTTTTCCACCAAAGTAGAATATCAAAATCTTGATTGTATTTAAGTGACAACTTGTTTAGGTATCATGTCAACTTCGTTTCTATTGATATCGATGGGTAATCCGTTTGTACTATTAAATCACCCATGAATTCATTCTCGCCATCAATCATAACTATCTCTTCATGAACACGTGTTTGACTTTGAAAAGAGTCGGTATTGTCGAAATTTGCTTTGTAGAATTAAAAATTTTCTCAGATCTTTTTTTCAATATCTCGTGTTAAGGCCTTAGCCTTCAAAGTAACTTCCGATTTAAACAGGAGAGTTTTTTTTCGGTATTCTTCAACTTAATCAACTTCTTAAAGGCTTATTGAAGAAACTCAAACTTCAATTGTGGATCTAGTATTACCGCAAAGTACAAAAAGTCATTTAATTTTTCAAGGTTACCCTAATGCTTATCATAATTCTTAATCATATCCTTCCCGGTCAAGAAAAATTGGGTACTTCTGCCCAATTCCTTATGTGTTTGTACACATCCCATATTTCTGTAAAAAAA